AAAAAAATAAACTAAAAAAATAATAAATAATAAAAACAGACTTAATATAAATATGTAGAATCAGTCCAGACACATGCTGGTTCCACCAGCTAATTTAGTTACAGTTTATGGGAAATAAGCTCTTGCCAAGAATCTCTCTTGATTCACCATCAAAAGAGATTGTTTTTTAATCCGAGGCATTAGTTGGTCTTTGTGCATGTGCTGTGCTTGTCCATAATAAACTCTCTGAAGCTCTTGCCATTAATCTTTAACCTCAGGATCGGTAGCTCCCAGGTCATGAACCCATTGTTCTTTATTGGCTGCCTGTACAGTCCTGGTCCTGACATTCCAGAAAACCAGCTTTACTGCCTGGGCTCAAGCAGACTTTTCCGGCACCGGCTCTGCCTGGCTCCTTGCACCCGGCCTCCCCCCATCCCCCATAACAGTGAGGCTCGATTTAGAAAAGGACATATTTAGGTTGCACCGCTTGAAATGACCAATATCCAACCATCTTTTACTACTTGTAAAAATGGTAATTCCGTAAGATCTAGGGGTAGGTAACCTTTGGCTTTTTATAGTGTGGATTTAAAATAAATTTCTGCTGGCAGTAGAAGGTTTTTTGCATTAGGGGTTTTTTCTTAGATCAGATATGTGTGCTGTAGGACCGTATAAAATTATTACAGGTTAGTTGTCAAAGTCTTTTTGTATATTGATTGCTATTTACTGTACTAGTAAATGGAAATTTGTGTAATCTCTCTGGTGAGCTGGTAAAGGAGGTGCTTTTAAATAGCTCCGTAGCCTCTCCATTGAAGCTTCGGCTTATTTGAACCTAATGACAGCCTGGGAGTTCTCAGACTACAGGAGGTCACAGGATGTGTGAGCAAGAAGATGACCAGAGCCAGGATCATCTGCCTGCTGTTTACTGCTCTACCCTGCATCCGTGAGTGCAGAACAAGTCAGATGCAGGAGCTTCTTCAGTGGGGAGTGCAGGACGAGGGCATGTCACTTCTTTGCTGTAGGATGTTGCCTTCTGTGTGATAAATGTACACAGCTGTGGTTCAAAAGCATGAAATGGTAGGAGCAGACTAGTAGTTAACCTGGACTTTGGAGTTGGAACTGTCAGGTTAGCATCTCAGCTCATCACTTACAGGCCATATGACTTGACAGGTTATGATCTGTGCCCCAGTCTCCTCGGTAAAATGATACAAAGCCCCTCCCTCTGAGGTTGTGGTGGGGATTGAGTGAGTTAAGTATAGATGTCACTGCGCTGTTTGGAAACCAAAAACAGTCTTAAGGTACTGCCTGGTTCTTTTAAAATGTTGATCAGCAAGCCTTGGCTTAATGGGTCAGTGGATAGAGCATGCGCCCCACACACTGAAGGGTCTCAGGTTCAATTCTAAGTCAAGAGCATGTGCCTGAGTTGCAAGTTCAGTCCTATGAAATGTGAAAGAATACACTTCAAGGCAAGGAATGGATATCAGTCACTCCAGCAAGGATCGGGAAATCTGTGCTTGGAAACATGTCACAGACACACATGAGGCCTGAGCCATGGCTGACGACGTCCTACCCAACAAATAACCTTTCTTTTCATCATCTTCTCTTAGAGCATAAAAGTAAGGCATGTTTGTTGTACAGCATTGCATTGGGGTTTTTTCTGATTACAGTTATTCAAGAAAACGTGTGTGTGGTTCTAACCTGTAGAGTAGGAGTCACCCGCACAAGGGGTCTAAAAGCTGACTTGTGTTCTGTGCTCCATTCCCACCCCCCGCCTCAACCCCTCTAATCCACTCCATACACTCTTTCTTCTGTGGAGTGGAGATCAGATTTGGACACAATCCCAACTACCCATCTCTGGGTGCCCCTAGAGAGTTCCTTTTTCTTTCCCTCCCCCCTCTTCCTCCTCTCTCTTCCTCCTTGAATTGCGATGTTTCCATCTTTCCCTCTTCTTCCCCCTCTCCTCCAGGTCCCTGTCTTCCCACCTCTCCCTCTCCCACTCCCTGCTTCCCTTCCCCTTCCTTTCTCCCTCCCTCTCCCCTCTTTCTCCTCCTCCTTTTTTCTGCAGTTACCCCTCTTGGCCCGCATCCCTCTCCCCGTTTATTGTGTGTTAACTTCATTATATCTGACTGCATCTTATTTTGTGGCTCATACATTTTGCCTCTGCGGATGCGTCAGGAGCCAAAGAAGTTGCTGAAATGTTGTCACTTTGCGTATGAGGGAGTGGAAATTTTGAGTCCCTCTGCCAACTTTATAGCAGTATCCAGGGATTTTGTGTTCTGGAAATACTGATATTAAGTAGTTTTGAGGAAAAGGTCAGCTTCTCCCAGGAATGCTTTTCCACATATGGGCACTTTTTCCAGATTGCCAGATGCCTCCAACCACCTCATAGAAAGGACGGGACTATGATAAGAGTCTGAATCACTGCTGACAAGAAATGTGGTTCAACACAGATGTGCTCAGAACTCCGTTCCTGCCCCAATGCTAGAGCTCTGACTGTGGCGTTTCTTATTCTGTGAGCCTACAAAGAAGGCTCAGGGGTCCCTGTGCACTTCATTCTCAAGAGCTCTCCAAGCGATGGCAATGGGGTTTACGTAAAGGTGGAGGGGGCAGGAGGTGCAGGAAGAATCAGAAATGAGGGGCTTCTCTTAAGTTAACGTGGCCCTTTATTTTTCACATTGTAAGGTCTTTAACATTATGGGTTGAGTTCTACTCAACCGACATCAGAACATTAGGCTGCACTCCAGCCAGCCTTGCCTTCGGGGCATGACCTCCAGATGCCATAACTGCTTTGTGCTTCAGCGTTTCTAGCTACAGAATGTTCGTAATGTCTTTCCTACATCATCCCAGGCTGACTTGAAAATCTAGGAAAGAATGTATGACAAACTTGTCCTGAGCACCTTCAAAGAAAGTTATTTTGAAAGGTCAGTAGGCTGAAACCGGTCTGGCTTAGTGGATAGAGCGTGGGCCTGCAGACTGAAGGGTCCTGGGTTCGATTCCGGTCAAGGGCATGTACCTTGGTTGCGGCACATCCCCGGTAGGGGGTGTGCAAGAGGCGGCTGATCGATGTCTCTCTCTCATTGATGTTTCTAACTCTCTATCCCTCTCTCCCTCTTCTTCTATCTCTCTTCCTCTCTGTAAAAAATCAATAAAAAAATATTTAAAAAGAAAAAAAAGAAAGGTTAGTAGTTACAGCAAAGGCTCAGGGCTGCCCACCCGGCCACGCCCCAGCCTGCCCTCTGTGCTGTCCACCAGTGCGCATGAAGCTGGGCAGGCCCCCCTGTCCTGCATTCCCTGCATATTTACTTTCTGAGTAATCCCACCAGTTCCACTGAATGGAAGAATTGAGCTTTCACCAAGGGTTTCAGCATTCTGCCCACACAGATCCAGAAGTTAGCACTGACAATATTGACAACAGAGAGCTTTCCTGTCCCCATACCATTTCCATCTGAAAACATACCCAGTGCCTAAAAGAGATCCCCCTTGGGCCGGCTGAAGTGGCTCAGTGGTTGAGAGTCAACCTATGAACCAGGAAGTCATGGTTCAATTCCCAGTCAGGGCACATGCCTGGGTGGTGGGCTCAGTACCCAGGTGGAGCATGCAGGGTGCAGTCGATCAATGATTCTGTCATCATTGATGTTTCTATCTCTTTTTCGCCTCTCCTTTTCTCACTGACATTAATATAACACACACACACACACACACACTCTGAGTGTCCAGATTATGATTTCTGAGCACATAATAATCTGGCCACTCAGTGTATATCCTATATAATAATCCTATATAATAAAAGGCTAATATGCAAATTGTCCCCTCGACCAGGAGTTCGACCAGCAGGCAGGCTGGCCAGTTGCCCATGTCCCCTCCCCCTGGCCAAGCTGGCCCAACCCCATCCATGCACGAATTCATGCACCAGGCCTCATATATATAGATAGATAGATATAGATATAGATATAGATATAGATATAGATATAGATATAGATATAGATATAGATATAGATATAGGTATAGATATTTTTTTAAGAGATCCCCCTCGGGCTTTGTTGCCTGGGTGGATGGAACACAGCCTTTCCCTCTAGTCCTTTAGAGTTAGACAGTGTTAGAGCTAAAAAGACTCGCCCGCCCTGGTCCAAGTGTCTCCAGTTACCCACGAGGAAACTGAGTTGCAGAGGGGACGTCTTTGCCCAGGCCCCACAGCAGTTTATTGGCAGCAGCTGAACTGACCCTGAACCCAGGTCTGCTGACCCAGCCACAGTTTTCCTGACCCTCTACTCTGCTTCCATGAGGCCTGCGCCAGGACAGCAGACTAGAACCAGAGGAGGGAAAGCAGGAGAGGAAGGGAAGTGATGGGCAAGGAAGGAGGCTTGGAGAAGCTTGGCCAAACCCTCCCCCTCCCACCCTGCCCCTCCATGTGCTTATAGGGTACCCCTAGGACTCAGACACCTGGAGAATTTGGGGGGTTGCCCACAGGTGCCTGTCCCACCCTGAGCCTGGAGCCATAGCAAGTGTCAGGCTGGGTGCTGAGTCCCTGGCCATCACACAGTGCAAACAGGCCCCAGAAGCTCTAAGGTCACTTTAGGGATCGGGCAGGACCTGGCAGGAGCTTGGCACGTTCCAGCCCAGTGGTACCTGGGATTCCCCTGGGGAAGAAGACCCAGATGCTTGACCAAGGAGCAGCCTGAGGAGGTACAAGTGAGATTGGCAGGCTTTGGGTGAAGGCCCAGCTGTGAGTGACTCTGAGAAAGTTACTTAACCTCTCTGAGGTTAAGAGTAATTTTTTCCTCCTGAAGTTAATATGAGGAGCACTGAGATGATGTAAAATATCTAAGTGTTCAATAAATGTTGGTGAAAATCACAGTGAACAGTAAGGAGTCTGGTAGCAGGTAGCCACAATGGAGGTCCCATCAGTCCCCTGCAAGCCCCACTTCACAGCAGATGATGTCAGCAGCCCAGAAAGGCCAAGGAGCTCTGCCGTTGGCACAGTCTCTAATGCAGTTCTGATCCCATCTTTGGTCTCTTGCTTCCAGATTCATGTGCTCCCAGCTGCCCAATCAGGTCCTGAAGAGCATCAGCATCATCGACAGCCCGGGCATCCTGTCTGGGGAGAAGCAGCGCATCAGCCGAGGTCAGTGCCCTTGCCACCCTGCCCCACCCAGTGCTGGCCAAGACGCTCTGTGTTGGCAGAGGATTTCCATCCCTGGTGTATTCTCCCCAGGACCCCCAGCATCCCTGGGCAGCCCAGGGTCCTGAGCTGAAGGGGCCCTAAGAAATAACCAAGGAGTCTGCCTAACCAATCATAAGCAGGCAAGCTAATGACAGCAGGGGAGGAGGCTAGAGGGAGGGGGGGGCTTTCCAGCTGCTCTTTCTCCCTCCCCCATTGACACATATTCTACCCAGTTGCTCCCTCAGCATCCTTGCCTTGAATAAGCGTTTTCTGCTGTATACTTGGTGCCAGACGCTGTCCTGTCACTGGGAGTCACAGGTGCAGTTTCTGCCCTTGAAGAGTTTATGTTGAGTAAGACAGATGTTAATTTTTTACGAAGAAAATGGAAATGCGAGCTGGGATAAGCACTCTGAGATGGGGGCTGTATATCAGGTATAAGGGGACCTGGCCTGGCTGCAGAGTGCTGGGAAAGGCTCCCTAGAGGATGCACTTGAGCCAGAATCTGAGGGCAGCTGGCGTGGGAAGGAGAGACTGACTGACTGACTGACTGGTATTCAAAGGAGACTGTTGAAGAATAGAAAATGACTGTGAAGAACAGCGGTTTCTGAGCGGCTTCAGCCTTCAGGAAACAAGGCAGAGGCAGTAACTGTTTCCAGGCCCGTGCATTGTGGTTAAACAGAGGGGCCTGTTCTCTCTCACACCCTTTTGGAAAAGGGGCTATCCGGGGCAGACCAGAGGACACGATTTACTTAGAAAATTCCTGACTGGGAGGACACCATGATGGACTCCTGTGGCCACAGAGATAAGTCACGTTCCCTTCATCCTGGCCTGGCAACTAAACCTACTTCCTCCAGGCTTTGCAGGGAAGGAGAAGATGGATCTGATGCATTGCTGCTATCACTGTTCACTTCACCACCCCTAGAACAGCCAGTCAGTGGGACTCTGTTGAGAGTGCTGGCATGGTGAGGTTGAGCAGTGTGACCTGTCTGGGGTCATGGTCACGGGTCACGGCCACACAGTGAACTCCCTCAAAGAACTAAAAAGCAAGAGCCCCAATACAGGTAAATAACGGACTTCCTTGGTCTGCACGTCCTTCTTTCTCCTGGCATTTCAGGGGTGCTGACCGCAGCCTCCCTGGGCTCACCAAGCACTCGCTCGGGCTGCCTGGCTCTGCCTTCACCGCCCCGGTCAGGGACTCATGGGCCATTAGTCTTCCCTAAGGCCTCCGAGAACATTACACTGACAGCAAAGCCAGGTTAATACTAGTCTTCCCTCATAACTATCTTGGTTGGTTTTATTTTCTGTTATAAAAGTAATCTTTAGTGTACAGGATTTAAACAATGAGTAGGATGTACAAAAATCTCCCTCTGTCACAAATGACTGACTAATGAATTTCTCTGGCTCCTTGGAGACTTTTTTCTATGCATATATAACATATCACTTTGAACAGAAATGTGATTACTATGCATGTTTTCTACAGCATGATTTTTGCTGTAACAGTCTGTCGCAGACATCATTCCATGCCAGTGTATTCAAATTATTTTATTCCACTTAATAGCTGCTTATTCTCCATCAAATGGAGGTAACATGGTAGGAATCTTTTGTGTATCTTTTTATTTTAAATTTTTATTGTTGAAAGTATTACATATGTCCCCTTTGTTCTCCCATTGGCCCCTTTTAGCCCCCCTACCCCTCCTCTTTTGTGTATTCTATACCTCAGTGCCAAAAGACTCTTTTTAAAGAGCCAGTTTAGGACCATTAACTGGTCCCAGTAAAGTTGCTCTGAAAATAAAATGTTTTGTTTTAAAAGGAAAATAAAGCAAACACATGTCCCAGAGCTTTTCCCAGCCGCCCACATTTCACCACTTCTACATGTCTGACCAAAGTTACTGGGAAATAAAGGTTGCTGGTAATAAATCTCTCTCTTTACCTCTAAGTTTTAAGACCCAGATTGTAGTTTCGACCTCATCCACCTCTTTTCATTGGTAGGTGGGCCACTGGTCAATTCTGATCACCCATATTCTTCAGGATTTCTCCTTAGCTTAGTCATTGTGTCTTTTAAACTGTAGCTCCTCACAGGAGTGTAGCGTGGCAGGACGCTCTCAGAGTGCTTTGAAGATCAGTCCTTTTTACCACTTTATAACAACCTGACTCACATCCTGGTCTGGCTTACTGTGGCATGTGCATACACACATCCTCTGCACAGAAATAGCACACACGCTTCCAACCCGTCGGCTGGCCCCTGCCGCCCTGACAGGCAGAGCAGCTGGTGAGGACGGACCTGGAGCCGCAGACAGTGTCAGCACCGCGCGTGGGGCTGGCGCTCCCCGGCGAGAGTACCTTACCATGTTTGGGCACCGTTGGTGGTTGCAGTCACTCAGCTGACAGCTCCAACACATTAATCCCAAAGATTACAAGCTGTTTTACAGCTGCTTCTGCTTAAACTATTGCAATCTGTGCTGCATTCCCACACACACTCGTGTATCTGCTTGCATCTCTCCAGCTTCCTAGATCACAGCACCACCTTTGCCGGTCATTTATGTCAGCCTGAGGTGAGGTAGGAGGTGCAGAACGTTTGAAACATCTGCATCGACTTAATCAGTGGAGCTGTGCCTCCCCTGCAACGTTTAGTGTGTGAAAGAGGAGAGGTGGCCGCTACTGTGCCTTCTCTTTGTCCTGGGAGTCGATGTGTTAACCCTCCACAAGGGGTCTCATCACAGAGGCCCCTTTTGCACATTGAGGGCCTCTCCTTGAGGTGTGTATCCATCCATGTTAGTGGTGTGAGAATGGCCACCGTGTACTGAGCTGTGTGTCTACCCTGTGCCAGTCGCTTAGGATTTCTATCTGCGTTACACAGTCCTGCGCACACAGAAGCTGAGCCCTGGCCCAGGAAACCCTCCTCGCCCTCACTTGCCCTGGAGAGCAGAGCTCCCAACGATCGTGTGAATTCCTTCCCCAGCTGCTGGGCAGATGGGTGGTGGCGCTTAACACCTGGGGAGTGAGCGGAGTAGAAACTGTTGAGAAGATGCCACTTTCGGAGAACAGGCTCCAAGGATGAGTGCTTCAGGCAGAGCTGACGGCTGAAGCTGCCGTGTGGGCCCAGCCCACCCTCCGGCCTGCAGGGGTGTGCAGCCCTGGCAGAGAGCGTACTGGACAGACAGTGCAGCTGCACAGGTGTGTGGTGACTGCTGCATGACCCTCAGGAGGACCTATGGACTGCGCCATGCCCAGAGGTCTCCCCATCAGCCCGGGGCAGCACAGACGGCGGGTGGAGTGGTGGTGGCAGGTGGAGTGGTGGTGTGTTGTGCTGCTTTGCTGGGGGTCAGGTGGAGAACAAGGGGTCTGACGGGAGCTGGTATCACATCATCACCAGCAGCCCTCGGGCACCTCCCGGGCATTGCCCAGGTGCCCAGAGCTCTGCAGAGAAGGTGGCCTAGTGAGGGAGCATCTCCAGGAAGGAGTCCTGCTGCCTTCGTAGTGAGCGCAAGAATGGAGGCCTTCAACCTGGGGTTCAGTCGCACATCTCACCTCACCTGTGGCCTTGTTCCTTGTTCAGTCTTCTCTCTCGTGACATCGTAAGCCTACACCCCCTTTTTTGTGTGCTGAGTAGAGGGGCAAGTGTGACTACAAGGAACACATGGTGTTTTGCAGACATTGCTCTTCCTAGGCCAAAGCTATAGGTGACAAGAAGAGACACTTGATATTTCCACATAATAGTTCAAATTTCCCAGTGTTGGGTTTGAAGTGAAATCACTCATGTGAGAAGTGGCCTTCACGGATTAGGATGTGTCTAAGCACTGCCTTCTCATCAGCATAATCTTACACTGACCCTGAGCTTCAGGTCATGCTCTCCTCACCTCCCTGCTCTGCTCCAGGGAAATGGGAATGCAGAGTCAGCACTGGGGGGAGCGACTCTCCTGGTCAGGAGCTCTGTAGGTAAAGCCCACAATGGTGATTGACATCGGAGCAACTTTTAGTATTCTCCATATGAAAACCCGTCCCCTTCAAATGTTCCCTTTGTTTCATTATAGTTGGCATAAAATCTTTAGGAACAAAAGATTGAGCTTAGTTTCTAAACTGTAGCTTTCTTGGCCGACAAAGAATTCCCACCAAGGACAAAAACATTCTCATATATTGATAGTAATAATTTTATTCTAATCAAGTAATAGCTACCTAAAAATTCTATAGCCTTTTCTTGATTCTTTTCTTGTAGCCAATTAAAAAATACCTTGACTCTTAAGATTTATTTTACACTATTTTTTTCAAAATGGGTGGGTGGAATCTGATTGGCTCTCTCCGGAGAAACATTCTTTGCCCCCGATGACAAACAACATCCAGATTTTTAACTTTTATTTTCCCCTCACTCTTTTTCTGTGTGATAACACATCCTTATTTTCCTTTCCATTCTCTTATTATTCTGGCTCCTGGGCTGTTTGCATCCTAAAATACTGTTTATTTTATACTGAACCTAAACATCATCTACGATTTATTTCTGGACCCGGCATGAACCCAAGTGTGTTCCCAACCACTAGGTACAAACCTCCGGTCTGGCTCCAATCACAGTGTCTCTGTGTGACAAGGAGAACACTGTGAAAACCACTGTGGCGCCTGGTGGGCTTGTCCACATATTTAGCACAAAAGCATTTGGAAGGTACTGTGGTTTCCTGAGAGTACAAGGTTCTGTATAGTCTTCAACAGACTGGACTTTGGTGATAAAAACAGTACAGTTTTTCCCTTTTAAGAACTCTAGAAGAAAAAAAACCTCTTGATCTGAGTTTTCTATCAGATATGCCTGCTCTCCCCAAATGACAGGAAAGTGTCTTCCTCTGGTGTTTAAGCTCTTCTCACGATAAGCCCTTTTCATTATAAGTCAACGAGTAGAACTAAGAAGACAGTGAAAATTAAAAGGGCAGAAAATGTCTGGCTAGTGAAAACAATAAATAATAGTAATGCATGAACAG